GAATAGAATGTGACGTTGCAAATCTTTGGAGCATGACCACTGGCTACATTGGTCGAACTACTTCAAACCCGATCCTGCACCACAATTTCAGTCAGGATCTGTTCAACGCCTGCGATCCCCCTGGCAGAGACGAGAGAAAGAAAGTGTTTTCTGCCTGCAGTCGCCCTCAGCGAACAATGATCTTTGTATTTTTCTTTTTACACAGATCCAAAGTTGCTTGACCAACGGAGCAAACTTTAGCTATGCCATGCTATGCCTATACATTCTTGCGACGACGACCAGAACGTCAAACAAAATATATAAACGATCTTAAAGAATCTAAAAAATACAATGTTTCATCCTTTTTCAACACAGTGTTACTACACGGATCTGCGTGGCATTGATGTGGCAGTCCAGCCTTCCTTGTCAGGCCATCCAGTTCAGCAGACCTAGCCAGCCTTGGGCAAGCATGCCAACCTCTGCAGTGAACCTCTGCTGACTGGGGATCCTGCCAGATCTTTTAGCTTCTTCCTGTTCTTCTTTTTTCTTTTGCTGCTTTTTTCGGAGGGCCAACCTGTCCAGGTGCATTTCCCTCGTTTTGTTCTGTCGCAAGACAACAGAGATCGTGGAACACCAATTGCACCAGGGCCTTGCTGCAATCGTGGGGTCATCTTCGTACTCCTGCAGTGCGCACAACTAATTACTACACCCGATGATTCTGGCAACTCGCTTTCTTCCACTTTCTGGAACCAAAGAACACGGCTGGCCACCAACATGACGCAGCATCTCGACTATGCCCACAACGCGAGGATTTGTTTGAAATATGTCGAACTAAAGTCTAAAAGGTTGTTCTCGTGTCCAAATGGACAGTCTCCATCCGTGCAGCACAATTTGACGATGGTCGGTGAAAATGGCGTCCTGCAACCTTCTCTCCATCATCCAGTTTCTCTGCGAAAAGAATGTCCTCCAATCCGCTGGAAGTGCTGTGAATTTGCAGCCTCGACTATGCCTCTTGCTTATACCAAAAAGATCCAAAAAGTCAGCCCGTTGCCGTTGTAACTTTCGCGTGGACCCACCGCAGAAAAAAACGATGTGATGCACAAAGAAAAGAAGTCAGCAACTAACTTGAGAGGAGGGAGACACGAAAGGTAGGACAGCGGGAAGAGAAGAGAACGCGAGAGGCAGGAACAAAAATGCAATGTTCGACATGGTGATTTATCCCCTCGGAGGCGACCTTTCGTAAATATATGTTCATAATTGTTCATATGAAATGTTCAAACATATGCTCTCGAAATGTTCAAAAAGATTCTTAGGAAAACAAACTTGCCCCATGGCTCAGATCATCGGTGAGCGTTGAATCGGAGCATCATAGGATTTGAACTATCCTGAAACCATAAGAGGCTCACGAAGACGTTCCCCAGAAGAGAATTGACGTGCTTCACAAAACAAATTCTAGGTATGTATCCCCTCGGGGGACACCTTTCGTGATTAGAATTTCATATGCACTCTTTCTGAATGTTCAAGAGGGTTTCAAAAATCCTGAAATCATGAGAGGCTCACGAACGCGTTCTCCAGGAGAGAATTGAATTTAGAGGGGGGGGGGGGGGGGGGGGGCCGGTATTGAAAAATAAATTCCAAGGGGGGGGGGGGGGGGGTCTGTATTGAAAAATCAATTCGGGGCGGGGGGGGGTTGAATTGAATGATCAATTATTAGACCCGGACGCGCCAACACTTGCTTCGCAAGACAAACTCAAGGTATCCCCTAAAGGGCTACCTTTCGTGATAATGATAAATCCAATCTATATATATATACTGTTTGTGCTCTACGACTTTGAGACTCTTTAAGGCACTGACCATTGAGGCAAGCCAGCGGCTTGGAACTCGCCTCGATTCGCAGCCCCAGCGCTTGTGACAGCGCCTGTGATGAGGGGGGGCTATATAATTAATGCATATGGATGCTATCTTCAGAAAATCGAAAATTGTAAGTTGCAATTTTGACCCCCGGGGGGGGTCAGGCACGCTAAGGGGGTAGTGATGTATCACGTTTTCCACGCTTTACACTTTTGCGCTTTGCCTTTGTTAGATTTGATTATAATAGTAAAATGATGTATAATGTATATAAAATTGATATTGTGGCACACACATCTGGCAACCATGGACGTTCAAGGTGCTGACCACCGTAGCCAGAACTGCTGGCATTACCTCTGTCAATTCCATGTCCTTGGAAGAAGGCGAACGAAAGGAGCCACACCGTCCCAGATTTTTTGGCGATGTAATTCTTCCGAGTGTTTTGCGGACATGGAACGTTGTCAGAGACAGATTGATGCAGCGGTCTGCTGCCGAGTGGCTGTCTTTCAGTTCTGGGTCTGGGTCATCCAAATATGCTGGATCCTGTCACGATCTCAGAGATCTATCTTCAAGCAGTTTGGAAGCCTAGCGTACCAAGTGTACTCTCAGCAAATAGGATAAATCTCGAGCCAAACTTCTTGCAAACCTTTTCTCCACCAAGGAGCGCCAGCTTGAAATCTTTGATCTCGAAAGCTCAGGTCGCTACACTGCAGTGCAAGCGACGACTCCAATGCCTCCTTCGCCTCTTTCGCACAACATTCGACGAGGCTTGCAGCAAGCTGGTCGTCAGACGCATCCTTCCAGATAAAGTTGGCCATCTTTCCATAAAGACAATCATTCACAATTGGAAACCCAATTGCGGCCAGCTGTGCTCGAAGTTGATGGGTTCGGCCCGTGTGAAGCTGAATCTCAACCTCTGTTAGTTCCTTGCATCCTGGGCTTGTTCTGATCGAAAGGATGGTTGCTCTAGCATCTCGCCACTTATGGCCGCTGCCACCTACTGCCGCATCCATTGGCGCAATAAGCCGAGGCGCCGGCTTTCCAAAGACAGAATCAGATATTTTATGCATCAACTGCTGGTTCACTTCAAGTTGCTGCTCACTCTGACAGCAAACCAAGGCTCTGTAGCGTTTTTGCACTTGCCCATCCAGCAAGAGCTGCTGGAAGGATCGAGCAGCATCTGGGCTACGAGCAAGCGCCACCAAGCCTGATGTTTGAACATCCAAACGTTGGCATGGGGTGAGCGGCGCTCGAGATTGATATTTATGGCGCCTTTTGGAAGCTAGAGCCGCAGCCACAAAAGGGACGAGCCACTCTCCTTGGTGCTATCCATGAATGAATAAAGTGGAACAAATTTCATGACTGCAGCTCCATGCTCCTTACCGGGGCCCCCTACTGTGCAAGAAATGTCCAACTACTGCAACAAGAGCAGTAGTTACTTTGATAATACAATGTTTTGAAAGATCTGGTAGGGCAATCCATCCGAGAAACCTATGATTTTTGTTGACTCCCCAAGAGCTTCCTCCACCCATTTAGGTGGTCACTACGGACAGCATCTCATCTATTCTCATCTTGCAGGCGAGGCACGTCCGTTACTCACATGCGGTGCACACGGCACCCCTGACGGCTTGTCTACGACCACGTAGTCCTCGTCACTGTGACTGATGCAGCTATACCAGGCTTCCAGACTCAAGTGCTCACAGGTGGGGTAGCGCTTTGGCTCTGTATGCACGCGTAGCTCAGCTCCTCTCTCAATCAAGGTGTCCTCAAAAGCAAGATTGCCATGCAGTTCGTGCAGAAAGGACTTCCACTATCAGTTACTTCCACTATCAGTGTTGCAGCTTACAAGAATCAAGATATTCTGAGTGCTTTCAAACCCAAAAGAAAATATGCTTGGCGTCCTGAACCAGTGCCCTTTCCTGTGAGTCTGCAGGCCAAAGGGTGTTACCCAAGCGTTCGAAAAGGCGTGCTTTTGGCGGCCGGTAGTAGACTGCACCTAGGTTCAACCAGTCCAAGGTTCAAGTACACGCCACTTCAAATCTGGAGGTCAGCACTCATACAACATCTGCCTGATCATGCTTCAACCACATCGCCTCCCCTGCTTGCAGGTGAGGCACCCATACCAATCAAATCAGAAATATTTGATGGACTCCACAATGGAAGTAGTTTCTGCAGGCCACCTTTAAGAGCCTCCGTTTCGTTGACTCTCGCGAAATGCACCTCATGCTCAAGCCAAATTCAGAGATCGCTCACTGTCAGGTTGGGTTTTGGAGACGAGATGAGGCACTTCGAGGAACTGAAGGTGTGTTCAGACCTCCAGAGGTGCCGCTCTGGAGAGGGGCATGCAAGAATTTCTTGGCTTCACCGCTCACTCCAACATGATTTGCACGTGGAAGAGTGTTCGCCACTACCTACAATTTGAATGAAGCGCCAAGCCTTAACGTCCAACCGCATTAGCGAACCCAGCTTTTGCCAAGCCACACCCGGGCTTTGGAGCTGTTGCTTTCGATGACGTTGCTGCCACGCGAGCTCGGTCAAATGAAAGGGGAAGAATTTGCAAGCTGTACGTTTCACTCATTTGTCCAACTCATCATACATATCATATCATATCATATCACATCATATATATCCTAATGTCATCTAATGTCTTATGTGGGTTCAAGCGTGTACTCGTGTCTCATGTCGTTGTTCAGAGACTTACATAAGACTTGAAACATCTTGAAACATTCAGAGGCCTGGCCTTTATTGGTTGTGCTGGCCATCCACACGCCACAGAGATCATAGATGCGAAAAGCCACTCCAGCATAATTCCAAATTCTCACATGAGCAATCATCAGCAAAGGCTTGCAAAGGCGTTAATCCTTTCATGTTCTCGGACGGACCCCATCCTGCCCTGAAACTAGATTCTAGTTTTTTTTCTGCTGGGCTGACCTGTTTCAAAGGGATTTGAAAGCCACTCCGGCTATTGAAACTACTGTAAACGCCTTATCAGTCTTATATATATAGTCCTATCATAGAATCATAGTCTTATCTTATCATTCACCTGAACCGGATCTGATTTCGGCCAACCCTTGTATATCCGTATCTCCTCATGCAATTCTGCACTATTATGCTGTTCTGCAGTGTTGAGATGAAACTTGTTGTAATTGTAATGGTCTCGCAACCAAGTAGGGGCAGCTCTTGATATCAAGTTTGCAAGTAAGCCAAACGGCAATTATTAGTATAGATGTTGTGCAGATCCGCCCACCCTGCATACATCCGCACTTGTGCAGCAAATTCTTGGTTTTTGAATGTTGAACCGAAGCACTGGTCAAGCAACTGGGCCCGTGTTAGAATTGGGCGGAGCCTCAGAAAGCCCAGGCTTTGCTGTCGGCACTTGCTGTCGGCACTTGCTGTCAACACTTGCTGTCGGCACTTGCTGTCAGCACTTGCTGTCAGCACTTGCTGTGACTTGCTCCATCAACTCTTGGGCCAATAGCTGGAAACGCTCTTTGGTGATGGCATCTCTGACCTCTTTGGATGACCCTTCGCTCTCAAAGATCGGTGCAGAATCGCAGGTCTCAGTTTTCTTGGGCTCGACAGTATCTGCCTGAAAACGTGCAGGCTCTTATGTTCAGCAAGAAAAGTACTCGACAAAGACTCGAATTTCATGCAAAATTGCAAGACTCGAATGTCACACGAGTCACACGTCCATCGAATGCATGTCGATCAACAAGGCTACAGCGTCCTGAACCGTGTCCGCCTTCACCTCACCGGTGCCGGCTTCAACGATCGAATCTAGAGTTTCCGAGAAAAGTGTGCCACCATTTCCTGGGCAGAGGCATGGCTGCGTGGCTTAGACATGTCAAGCGACAAAAGCAGCTCAGCAAATAAAGAATTGTCGGTTCAAATTCAATTGCTTCACCAATTGTGGTCAAGCAGCCATCAGCAGGAGGTGCTTGAGACGAGAAGTCAAGGAGATCAGGATAGCACGGCTGATCTGACTCCTCAATGGCTGATCAAGCAAAGAATCAAAGAGCAGTTATAGTAGCAGTCATCTAGTTACAGAAGCGCAAAATGGCGCAGAGGGCACTTTATTACGCTCAATTGTCATTGTGGGGGGAAGGAATGTCTGCCAGTACTGTCAGCGCCGAAAGTTGCATCAACTTCCTCCAGGTATGTTCTCCCCCATGGAACTCCGCGCATCAACTCTGAAAAAAGTCACCTCAACAATTTGCGCCACTGTAACTGCGATGATTTTGTTAACTTTTTGTTCTTGGGATGCATTTTAGTCACCTCAACTGTGTCAGTTACATGCAGTCTAGCATGTTTCGGACATGTAAAGAAAGACATGTGTTTCAAGTCTATGAGAAGGTTCCCCCATGCAACTGCGATGATTCTAGGTGGAACATCTGAGCCGTCTGCGACCCATGCACGTCTGTGCCACCTCCACGGCTTGGTCCGCACGCAATCTGATCTGTACTAGCGTCCTTGCTACTAGTAGCGATGCACCTTGTTACTAGTAGCTTCTTGATCCTAGTAGTAAGGCCAGGAGCCCCTAGTAGCGTCCTTGCTCCTAGTAGCGATGCAGTATGTCCCATGCGCGCGGTTTGCACAAAGTCGTGCATCGTCTGTGCCAGCGCTGATTGCACAGTGTGCAGCTGGTGCATCATACACGAATGCTGGCTGCGTCAGATTTGTTGATTCTTGTGGTGTCTGCAGCTTGTCAGGCTGGCACGGGGTTGCACGTGGCTTGAAAGGGCTTGGAGCATTCAGCACCTTTGGCAACCTGTTGAATCTTTGTGGGGCCTGTCTTGGAACACCGCAACCCTTGTGCCGAAAGGGCTACCTTTTGAAGAAGTTGGCAGTGCTGGGTCTGCAAATACTCAGCGGCATTTGCAGAAGCACGTGAATTGGTCAACCAAATCTTAACCCATAGATCATGAGTATATTATTATAGCCTGCCATAATTAGTCCGCCATAGACAACGGTAGAAAACAATCTGGAAAGCATGCCCAATTTCTTCTAAAGGGTCTGAAGGAGTGTGGCTTCAAAAGCAGCAAGCCAGCAACTTTGGAATATTTGGAATGATCTCGAAATGTCCCCGCTTGGCAACCAACAATCCTCGCATACTCATACATAGGTTGCTCTCAACCTCTTGCAGTTGGTGAGGGAAGCAATAACTGAACATATGTTTTTTGTTTGAAACCGTATAGTTCAGTCTCCGTAATGCAAACGCACAAGATGACAAGTCCCGAAAAGTGCAAAAAGACACCAATTTTGAGGACTCAAAGGCCCAAGACTCGGTCGCTGCCCAATCAAGCCAGGTCTGCATGGCCATAGGCGGAAGACGAACTTCGTCACTGTGCCTCGCAGTTTATGGTATCGAACATTCAAACAAAGTGACATGGTTTGTACAAACTATACTAGCGCTGGGGTTTAGTCACCCGGGTTTGCAGAAAGTCATCCGGCCGCATGGAAACACAGCATTAGTCAAAAGTCACCCGGCTCACGAAAAGTCACCCGCTTTATGTTAAAACACAATGTAAACGCTCTACGGAAGTATGTTTGTCAAAACTGCTATACATCAAGAATTCACTGCCCCTGCGCAGGAAAGAACTAGTTTTATGTCCAAGTTTGCAGCGTTTTGGTGACCAAACCCCAATCAGAACGCAAGGTTAGGACTATCGTGAAGATTACCCCCTAAACATAGATGCAGCATGCTGAGACTACCCGAATCTTTTCTATTTGCTCTGGTCCGGCAACGTCAAGGTGACAAACCGCTTGTTACGGTTGCTCGAGCTTTAAACATTAATGGTGTTGAACTGACACTCCAAAGCTTATCTTCCAATGAGGGTGACATCTTGCGTCTAACCCCAATGGAAACGCAGCATCCAAACAATGTTGTTGACCTAATGCTCTTCCAGTTATATTGGTATCTTGCATCTAACCCCAATGGAAACGCAACATCCAGACGACTTTCTACGAGACCAGACGACTTAACACAAGTGCTTGTACCACATAACCTAAGCTGCCAAGCTGCTCCTGGCGACAAACAACATTCAATGTGTCTAGATCCAGGAGTGTACCGACTGCCGTCCATGAGTCTGCTGGATGCTGCCCAGGCCTTGGGGGAAAGACACAGTCAGTGCCGGTTTCTGTTTCGTCTGCACAAAGAAGCGGCATGATGCTAACTCTCATGTTAACTCAGCTCCCAAGCTCAGATTCTTTGTTCTGAATCCTTCTCAGCGCGTCTTCCATCTTCAAAAGTCCTGTCATGGCACTGTCGCGACGAAACAGCTTGGCTGGGTGGCTAGGCTTGGCGGCTTAGCTTGCAGTCGCCCTTCACACTTGGCCCATCCTTCACGAGGGTGCTCCTTTCCCTCCTGCTGACTATCAGCACTATCCAGCACCTGACACTAGACAGAAGCTCTGAAAACTAGGCACATTGAGACATGTTTGATAAGACACATATAGCAAGATTAGTTTGTTCCTTCAGTTCCAACCTCACACAGAGAGGCAAACAGCCCTGCTCCATCATCAATGCTCTCACTTTGGAGCGCCCGCCAGAGCGTGGAGGCACGGGATGCCTGACAGCTCCGCGTCAGGGCTAAGCTCAGAATAGAGATGCTTTCCCAGAACCGTCAGTCAATGCAAGACATGTTTGCATGTTAGGTGGGAGGCCATCGCTAGTGGGTTAGAGTTGTGTTGAGCAATGGCAGCCATACATGACCAACCATCAAATATGTTGTGCGAAAAAAAATGCAAAAGCAGCACAATTTGCTTGGTGTTTGCATTTGTTTTGGTGTTTTTTCTTGTTTCCTGGTACCACTTCTGCACTTATGGGAACTTTTACCCGTCAACAATATTGGCTGTACGCTCCTAGGAAAAAAGTGAAAATAAAGCGGAAAACATGCAGAAAACATTGCCAATATAAAGCGGAAATAAGAAGTTAAAATAATGCAAAAAAAAAGCGACACACGCACAGCTACATGTTTTGGCTGTTTGTTGCTTAAACAGTCATTTTGGCTCCTTGTATCTATGGCTGGCGTGCCCGACTCAAGGTTAGAGGCCATCGCTAGTAGGTTGGAGGCCATCGCTATGAGGTTGGAGGTTTTTTAGTAACTACGGTAATCAAGTCATGTTTTCCTGCCGAGGTTACCATCTCAGAGTTTCCGGCCATCTGCTTGAGCATCCGATGCCGCAAAGCAGGTAGGAGGCTGCGCAACGCCTGCTGCAGCCTGTTTCGTTGGATTCGACCCAAACAAGTCCCAGGCATGCCGTTTGCTTTGCTTGTGCTCATTTGTGCTGAGCATATCTCAGCACTGTCCTGCTTCTTTGTGCATCTTCTGGCTGTGGCAATGAGAGCAAAGACCACAGCCAAAGCATCATCTTCTCAGATTCTTCAGGAGAAGCCTCCTTCCGCACAGGCAAGACGATGCAAGACGTATTGTGTTGCAGCAATTAAAGGAATCCTCCAAAACCACTCTTGGATGGTGCCTCCATGTCCAAACCCGGCTCAGAGTCAAATCGATCCTCACTTGAAATCTGGTGAAACACTGTCATGTTGGAGGAAACATTCCCAGTGATAACACTGTGATACTGTATGTTAGACGGCCCCTTGGCTGCCAAGGAACACAAATGTTCCTCAAGCTAGGGCAATTGTCAGGTGCAACGTCCCGGTTCGGTGTTTGGAGCCCAACTGCTCTGAAGAGAACTTCCCGCATGAAGCGAAGAGCAAAGTTCTCAGAACATGTCCTCAGATAGCAAGACTCTTCAGCTACCAAGCTCTTGTTTCATGGCAAGTCTGGCCGATTTGCGGATAGCGCTGTGGATGTTACGTAAAATGAAAAGGTTTTAAGACCGGTGGAGCTCTGAAACTAGTCTGCCCTGTGTCTGCTCTGTGGCCTGAACTCACATAGTGTAAAAATCCGTCTAATGCCAAGCGAAAGCTTTGACAATGTGCAAATCAAAAGTCTCACAAAGAAGTTGCAAAGCTTTCGCTTCTCGTTGGTCAGGATGTGGGTCCTTCTTCATGACCTCAGCTATACTCCCTGTACGATCCAGGCAGAGTGATTCTCCCAGATCTCTCTTGCCCAAGACGCTGTGTCAAAGAGTCGTGCCAACAGGCGCCCTTCGTCAGGAGCCAGGGATGACAGCTCCTTTGCTGTCTCATGCACAAGCGCGGAGGCATGTTCTGCCTTCATCTCAGCGTGGTCCTGCAGGTGTTTACTTTTTGCCAATCATCTTACACTTCCACAAGACCGGACAACAAGTGTCTACAACAAGTATACCACCTCGCACAGCCTCCCTCTTTTGAACTCGAGACTCCTCTGGCTCCTCTTCTCGCAGAGTTTCAGTCAACTTTGCACGTTTCCTTTTCTTCGGTGCTCGATGAGTAAGTGTGCTTCCGGCTGCAGTGATCGAAGAGATCAATGCCTGCAGCTCGGAAAGCCGTGTCATGCGAGGTTCAATGGCTGCAACATGCTGCAACTAGCAGCGGCTTTCGTACCAGAATTGTTCAAGTATCATAATAATAGGCTCTAGAACCTTTGTGTAGTTCTGTGCGTGTATGTGCTGACGCATTTGCCATCGAAGGATATGATCTGAACTGAAACGATAGCAGCTAGGGTTCATACAGCCAATGTAAGCGAACCTTTCTTGCACCCTGACCACTACTGAGAGCTATTGTGAACAGTTAAATCAGTTGTACACCAATTTTACTAGCTCACCTCTCATTCGTCAGAGCATCGACATTCAGTCCGAACGGCTGTTGGTGCTTCCCAGTGGTTTGGATGCAGTGTCTTTACAAGTCTTTACACCCAAAACTTAGTGAAGGTCAAGCAACAGTCAACAAGAACCGGCAAACTAAGAAGCTTGTGTGGGAAAAAACAAGGAAAGCAGGGACGGAGTCGAACACAGCAAATGTGTCAAGGCACCGCAAAAGCATTCATCAACATCAAGTCAGTGGCGGGAAGAGCCACCAATAGGTACGGCAATACAAATAATATAGCAGTTCGTGTTGAAAGAAAAGAACAATCCCCAGAAACACGTAGTTACAAGAAGCTAGTAGTAACAAGTGCATCGCTACTAGGAACA